ACACATGCTTATGTTTCAGCATATGAATACAGAAAGTCAGCCAAGCACATAAAAGAACAATGTCAACTGCAGTTATTTTGGGGATGGTACTTTGGTTTTGGTATACTCCACTGTTACATTTATAGATTCTAAAGAAATTAAGTCTTATTTTCAAATGTAATTACCACAGAAGGCATGGAAAATGGAATTTTCAAAGCAGCACAAGGAAATTGAGGACCCCGGTTTTAAGTAGGCAGGAAAATATGCCAAGTCTCTTTTGAACATGCCAGTATCAAGCATGTGTATGTGAGCATTCTGTTACTTGACACAGGTTCGTTATAAGCTAACCAGCTGATAATGTTTTTGCAATACTAAGTGATCTTATATACAGAAATATTTCAAATCATGTTCTGTTTGTCATGAGAAAGAATGTGTTTTCTAGTTTCTGCAGGGGGGAGGTTGTTTGGTTTTGTTTGGCTGTTCATTTTTTGATTTTTTTTTTTCCTGGACAGTATTATGGGCCAAATGATCAATCATTTTATGTAAAAGGCAAAGTTTGGTGTAAATGAGACCAGAATACATAGGTATGTGCTAAATCAGATATTTTTAAATGCATGCTACTTGAGATTGCGGAAGAAAAACACACTCAAAAATATTAGTGATTTGTTTGAAGTCAGAGCGCATTTCTCTCTGTGGATCTATTTATAGTCTCAGGATAAGAAACTCCTATGCTAAGTAGCAGGAACTGATGTGTGAGACTTTCACATACTTAGAAGAAAAACATGATTTGTAATTTTCTGTTTCTCAGACTAAAGAAAATTCATGAGTCTTGTAGCTGGGACATAAAACTAATGCTGCTTACTTAGAAGAACATTAATCACACATGCAGTTTTCCACTTGAACTGTGGTATCTGTAGTACTCAAAGGAGTCAGTTCTCACAGAATATTTTTCATCTGGCTTTGTCCTCTTGTTAAAATAAATCTATCATATTACCACTGACCAAGCTGAGATTTTAATGTAATATTTTTGTATTTTTAATTTTTATTTTGTTGCTATATTAAGACCAGAAACACAAATGGATTATTGTGAGACCTGAAGTGTTCCCTTTTTTTGCTTCTGGAGTTCAGTTCCATACAATATTAGCAATCCACTTCTGTGCTAAAGCCAAGCAGTGACAGTTGCAATAATGAATATTTGCTGCAGGCCACTGGTATGAAAATAGCACAGTGCTGCAAGCCTGCGTCACCAGAAACAAATCTTCCATTTGACTGTGACTGGATTTCCAGCTCAATTTTAGATCATTTATTGTTGAAATAGTTCTTAAAGCACTGTCATAATATAAGGTTAAGAAATGCTGATTCAGTCTACAAGACATAAATTCAAATGCTTTCCTACTCCTTTTTGATGTTTAGTTTGTTTGGTTTTTTAATCCCTTATACCTTTAATGCTGTATCCTGTGTTTAGGGCACTGAACTGTGGACAGCAGCAACACTGTAATATATTCAAAGGGACACATGCTGATTAGGTTAGAAGTTCTGGTGAAAAATGGATTTGAAATCCCTCTTTGTAAGCTTACTTGACAGTTTTTAGAATATTTTATCCTTAATTCCTGCTGAAAATTCTAAGCTTTATATGTAGAGGAGCAGCTTTGAGTCTTTAAGTGTGTCATGGCTTTTACATGGTGAACTGGAATGGCTTTCTATTTATGTTTCGATGTCATTAATGTATTTGTATTAGTGAAATATAAAATGTATTAATATAAGGCACATTTTGAAAGTGGAGAATATATGCCCTGAGCTTTGATTATCTTTTTTAGATGAAGAATATGCGGATGATATTTATAATTTTTAGTTTAATTTTTATATGTTATGTTGCTTTCACGCATGCATCTCAAAATAATCTAAAAATACCCAAAATAACTAGCATCATTGATTGTATTTTCTTTTCACTTTAAAATAATTACATAGTGAAATGTTAGATCAACACAGATATAGAATTTTAGATACTTGAAGCAGAATATAATCTGTTATTTAAGCTTCTTTATGTTTCTTTTTTCTTCATTTCCTCAGGTTTTCCCATGGAAAGTAAAGAAATTATGATCTATATTTTGCTTAGGGCTAAATAGTGACCCTTGCACTGCAAAGCTGGTAATGGTGATTGAGGTACATATATAATTTCCTGAAAGAGCACCAACTTTACCATCAATTCTGAGAGAATGTTAATGTCTTCTTTTTCTTTTCTTTCCCTCTCCCTGGTGTCATCTGCCCTTTGCCTTCCATTTCACCAAGACAGTACATTGGCCAGACCTACTACTGTACAGTAGTACTAGGATGGAGAAACTGATGTTTTAAAAACAGTGCCATGTGCTGCTGGGATTGGGCTTTTGAGGACAATAATTTTACTCCAGCAATTTTCAACTGAAAGACAGCAAACATTTAATGGATTCTCTGGGATGGGGAAGAAGTGACTAGTTAATTCTAATATTTTGTGAACAGAACTTCAAAAGCTTTGTTTTCTCATCAGTTTTCCAAAACCAGGCTTAATATTTCAAAATTTTTTTTTTTAAATTATTGTTGGTCTTTTAAAATTATAAAATAGAAGAGAATATTCAACAAGGCAACATCATTCCTTCTGCATCAGTATTTAACATCTTCAATACGTTCGGGATACAACCACCTTCAGGCTCACTTTCAGGAAAAAAAAGCAGACTGTGATTTGACCTTACATGCTTTGTTATATACTTTAATGTCTGGCAGTACATAGAATAAGACACACTCTGCTTTCTTTGGTTTATGAACAATAATTTTTAAAGACCCTCTGGGAGAATATGTAGAAACATTATAAAACACACAATGTATAGAAATTATTATAGCTTCAGTCAGTGGCCTTATTCCCACTGACTGAAAGGGGATCAAATTTGTGTAGATATCTGTTCAGTCAACTTCAAGTCCTCCAGTAGGAAATATTTCCGGATCTGTGTAGGTGGGGTATTCCGTTTCATAAACTTTAATATTAGAAAGAATTTCCTGATGTTTAATCTCAGTCTCTCTTGATGTAATCCAGTAGGTCTTCTTCTACTAGGAGGGATCAGGGAGAAGAGTATATTTTCTTATTTTTAGCTACCTTCTAGAGGTATGAAAAATGTTGTCAGTATTTGGTCTTCATGTTCCATATTCACAGTCCATCCATATTTTCTAAACCTCTGATTTGTTTTGGCTTCCTCTCTCACATCTCCTCTCTTGTTGTTTTGCATTTGTATTGCTGCTGGATTAACAACAAAGCAAGTAATTGTTATTTTTTTTGACATTGCTGTCCCCAGGCTGGACACAGTGCCTCTAGAGCTGATTAGAGGATGAAAAAAATATCTCATAAACCTTTTGCTTTGCACTTGCAATATGGTGGGGACCAGTGGTGGTCATAACATAATGATATACGAGATTTGTGTTCATCTTGTCTTCTACTGTAAGATTTTTCTGAAAAACAAGAAAATAATCAGGATGAAATAAACAATAAAAACTCCCCAAAAAGCGCTACTAGGGCTGTTGTCATTGTCTTCCTTTAATAGATCAGATTAATCCTACTGAGTGTGGATTCCTGCAATTGTCTTTACTGAAAGCCATCTAATTTTCTAGACTGCTTCTTCAATGCATTAAATTGCATTGAATTCAATGCATTGAATCATGTCTCAGTGTTTGTTTGCTTGCTTCCAGTTTGATATCGTCTGCTAAGTTATTAGGCATGTTCCTCATTAACAAAGTTGTTGAACAGTATTAATCTGCAAGACACCTCTATGGCATCAGTTAGTTGTGTCCCTTCTGCATCAGAGCACATACTTAGATCAATAAATAAAAGAATTGTTATTTTGTCTATTCTAATAGGTAGTGATAAATAAAGCATCAGTAACACCAATGGATGTATGAAACTAAAATGAGCTGGAAAGTCCCCAAATTGAGACATACCTCAATAAAGTAACTAAGGTTTCTTGTGAGGAAAGGAAAACTATTACTCAGTAGGCTTAATATGATAAAATACAATGGTGCAAAGGCAGAAGAGTTCCTGTCCTTTCTTTCTTTCATGTCCCTTACCTGCCATCATCTTCACTGCCTCAGCACTGGATCTTACTGTCCTCTACCTTTCTAAGTACTTGACTACCACATGATACTGCTGTATCCAAATATCATGTATATATTATTCAAAATACAGTACCATTGTGTATTTTCTCTCTCTTCAATTCGAGAACTATAGAAAAAGAACAAGTTCTGAGGTGAAAGAACTAGGCTTCCAAACAGATTAAAGTATATATATCATGCTTATAGTTTTTCCAAAAAAAAACACTGATATGCACAATGAAAATCTTATTACTGTTTGTGTAAGTCTCAGATACAGCATGTTGTATATTTAATTACTGTATGTATCATTGTTATGCAATTAAAGGATAATAATATATATTGTGTATTAATAATTGCCTTCATCCTTTTAATGTTAGTTTTGGGTACAATCGAGTGAAGTATCAATTTAACTAATTTTCTTTTTTTACGAGATATAAAGGAAGACAAATATTTTCATTTTATTTTTATTAGTATGAGGTGTTAAAACTTCAGCTTGGCTACTCAATCAGTATAAGTATTATGTGGTGCCATGGCAGTTTATGCATCTGAAGTGCTGCGTATGAATTTTAGGTGCCTATTGTGCTGGTCATTTACGCGACCTCTTTTAGCGGATTATTCTTCAATTCTTCAGTACAATCTTAAAGATGTTTCTTTTCAGTTTATGAATTCTGTGTTAGCAGAATGCAGGAGACAACACGTGGCATTTCAGTACATGGGAGTACTGTGTTTTGTAACCACACAAAATACACAGAATAAGGCCAGATTAGGTCATTACCGTTAGTTGAACCATCACCGGCACAATCTGCCTCTCTGTGATTGCAGTATTGGGATGCAAACAACCAAGCATCAAAGGTCACAGGATTTTTTTTTGTTTTGTTTTGTTTCCTTCCATCTTCTCTCTTTGCCCACAGACGCTACCACAGGGACACCAGCAATATCAACAACGACAACCGTGGAAATCCGGAAGAGCAGTGTTATGACAACTGAGATCACCTCTAAAGTGGAGAAAATCCCCACGACAGCCACTAGCAGCACCGCTTGCCCTTCCATTGAAACTGAGGAAGAAAAAGCAAAAAGACTGCTGTACTGTTCACTATGCAAAGTCGCTGTCAACTCTGCCTCACAGCTGGAGGCGCACAACAGTGGTGAGATGGAGCAATGCTTGCTTTCTTCCTTTTTTTTTTCTTTCTGTCTCAAGAGCGCTGCAATTATCTTCCCCTGAATAGATTAGATCTCTTGCAGCAGGGGACAAAGAGGTGGCAGAAAACTGGCAATTACATGGAATTCATTAACTATTAAAGGATAAAAATGACAGCCAAAGAGGCTTTCATAAAGGGAGAAGAAAGGAATTTTATTGCATGCAAGTTGCATATTTTCTTACGTTTTAGCTTTTGCAGCTTCGAAACCTTATAGAGCTAAATGACAGCTCTGCTTCATTACCTTTGGTGTTCAGAGTTTGCATAGTTTAGCTTATGCCAGCTAGCAAACTGAGTATGAATGCCATTAGCTTTGTCTGAAATCTAACAAATTAAGGCTCAAAGAGGGAGCGCCAGTCAGTCAGAGTTCAATGATAGGAGTTAGAGTTCTTAGCTCCATATTGTCTGCTAATAAATAACTTGTTAAAATTATGTATATTTCCCTTTGTTTTCATCAACTGATAGCAGCTTTTGCATGAGAGTTGAAAGGGTAATTACCTACCTCCATCTTTCTTAATTTTTAAACCTCTTCCTATTATTAGAGCTAGTAGCATTAATAAGTTCCAGTAGAAGAGAGCCATCATTCACAATCACTATTTTTAGCACCTTATTGATTGACTGCGTAGCGAGCAGGGTTAAAAGATCTAGGGATTCAATATGGTGGCATCAAGGGTAAATAGACTTAAGAAACAGACATAACCTTAGGTTTGAAATACAGGGACAGTGAGGGTATACCTAGAGCAAAATGATCAATGGTTTTGTGATGTAATGAAAAAAAAGAAATAACTTTGTCGTGTCTATGGAATTCACTTAAATTAAAAAGGAAATTATAATTTGTTGGTATTCATGAGAATCAAATACTAATCAGTTTTGAATGCTGTTTGCTGTATGCCAGATCTTCAAATGGTGAAAGTTCAACTTCATAAATCTGTACCCTTTTAAACTATTTAATTTCACATGAGGGTCAGACTATAAACATTATTCTGATCAGGCTGTGAGCCAAAACATTATTCTGAATGTTTAAACACAACCCTCCAAGTTTTAGCTGCCTATGCTATAAATTGTGATTGTGCTCACACACATACATGCTAGTAAAAGTGTCTGTGTGGATGCATATAGCAATTATCAGTGGAATGGCAGTTCTGTACACAGTAGTAGTCCATTATCATCACAGACTACCTGCGTGGAAGTAAATAGTGTAAGCAATTGTTCAGTCTGAATACAGGTACAGCAACTGAACACTGTTGTTTTCTATCTAACCTTTATTTAAAAAAAAAACAAAAACGGAAAAATAAAAAAACAAGTGCATTTTTTTTCACATGCATGCTTCTCACATGTTTTGGTTTCTGTCCAGGCCATTAAGGATCCATAGGTTGCTGCCAGAAGCTTCTGCCCCTTTCTGTTTTGGAGATTAATTAGTTGATTACAGATTTAATTATAAACTATCTAAGACATACTGTTTATCAATCTGTTCAGGAGAACTACAAATCAAAACCAACTACACCTTTAATAGATAAATTACTCTTCTTTTGCAACTACAATTCAGGTCTTATTAGCAGCAGGAGTTAACGAGAAAAGTCACACCCATTTAACTTCACATCAGGATACTTGATTGTGCTACTACTTTCTGGTGTGGCTGCTTTGTTCTAGTGCATTACCTATAGGTATGTAATTTAGTAAGTATCAGATGTGAAATACTGTTACATTAGTATGAATCTGATACAGACCAACACAGCCATATTCCAAGGATAGAATGTGGCACCAAGAGGAGGTTCATATGATTTTATTTTAAAAAGGAAATAAAACAATGAATGCAACCCAATTGCCAAAGTTGTTTCTGTTTCCCATTTCTAATGTCTCCAGGGACTAAGCACAAAACTATGCTGGAAGCTCGGAATGGAAGTGGAACCATAAAAGCCTTTCCCCGGGCAGGCGTAAAAGGCAAAGGACCTGTGAATAAAGGAAACACAGGCCTTCAGAACAAAACATTTCACTGTGAAATATGTGATGTGCACGTAAACTCTGAGACACAACTGAAACAGGTACTCAGCTTGCAGATGGAGAATCCTTGGCTGTTTTTTGTTTTCATGGTGGTAAAGTACCAACACAGTCAGCATGTGCCAATATAACAGTTTGTGTCCGAATGGAGCTTACGGATTTTGTCCTTTGTACTTGGTTGTCATGCTGTATGTTTTGTTTCAGATATGGTTTCCCCTTACATGGAATATGTTTTCTCAAAAGCTCTCGATTATACATATTTCTCAGAGAGCTACAACATATTACAAATGTCTTTAGAGTACTAGAATTGTCATGAGCTAATAAACCCTACCATTTAGTGTACTGCATGATATTTGCCTTGACAAAGATGGGTAAGTGAAAGCCAGTACTTTCATGGAGCACTGAATAACTTGCTTAGAAATGTATATGGAAAGAATTTCTAATATTTTTTATCTATGTTTCTTTCTAACTGAGAAGCAGTACAATTACACTAAGTTATGTTCAGTCATTCTTCAGATGATCAAAGCCTTCCAAAAAATACTTAGTCTAATTCCATATGCCTTTTGGAATTAAATGCTTGTTAAAGAACTTTACAAGAATGAAGATAAATTCAGAAATGGACAATAGCAATACCCTTTTTCTAGTTTCAGGAAAAAAAAAAGTCTAGTTCTTTTTTTTTTTTTTGGTGACATCTCTCTTGAGAATGAAAATCAAAGTAAAAATAATTTTTTGTTTGGAAAAAGTCCTTCAGAAAAGGGTCTCTTCTAATACTGCAATAAAGTCTGTGTAGAAGGATACTTACAAAATCTCACAGATCTTAGCAAGAAGATAGTGGATTTTGTGGTTTTTTTTCTCTGTCACTTAGTTTGATATATAACCATCTTAAAAGTATCTCCAGGCTTCTCAGGGATTTAAACAATTTTGTGACCTTATTTTTTTCCTGAATAGGGGATGCTCTACTATCTAATATTCTTTGAAAACTTTCTATCAGCAGTGGATTGAATTTGGTGGGTGCTTTACAGAAATAGGGAGGAGTTTTTCAAAGGCTTCTGTCTTTAACTTGATTCAGGTTCTGTTGAAGTTAGAAAAGATGAGAAAATCATAGACTACAGTGGAAGCAAAGTTGAACTGAGCACTGTGATGCACAAAGGATCATTCAAATTCCAACAGACCCTATTCCCTTTCATTATTGAATTAGTCAAAGTAATGCTGTTGTGGAGAGCAGAAGTCTTTAGTACTGGAGCAGTAACCTTGTGTAAACAGAACCTGAAAAGATCTGTTAAGGAACTATCACTCTTTGTTTTCCTTTTTATTCCCACCCCAAATATATTTTAACAGCACATAAGCAGTAGAAGGCACAAAGACAGAGCTGCTGGGAAGCCACCTAAACCTAAATACAGCCCTTACAACAAGCTCCAAAAGGGAACACATCCTCTAGGGGTAAGTTAATCCACTTTTTATTTCAATTTTATTTTAACCCTGATGAGCAGGACTTTCAGAAAACGTAAGTGGAAAAATGTGTAAAATGATAGGAATAGTGTAAGCCATGGCAGTGTACAAGTACATGAATGACCCAATGGAAGTTCATAAATTACTTTTTTATATACTTTGGTGGGTGTTCACTACAGCCTGTGGGCCCTTGTTTTTGTAGCTACTCTGAATTAACTCAGAAAAGAAGCTTGCTGCAAAGGTCATTAGAGAGCGAGGGACAAAAAAACCTCCAGATGTTAAACAGGACTTTTCCAGTTTTCATCAAGGACAATAGTGTTGAAATAACTAAGTAAAACTCTATAAAACATAAAACCTTCATTCTATCCTTATTTAGAAAAATGTTCAGATAACGAGTGAAACAATTAAAAAAATCTGTCCCTTAATTCCGCTCAGTTTCAGGATGGTTCTGGTCACATTTTCCACTGCCAGAATAAACTATCTGGAACACAATTTTTACTAACTTCAAAAGCTGAGAAAAAGGTTTATTTTTAATAAAAAAAACCTCTAGGATTCTGCCATTAGTGAAGAATTATCTTATATTGTGGGTGGGATAATGAAACATTTGACATTTATCTCCTCCATCAGATAAACTGCATGAATGTTTTATCTGCTTTTCTGTAGGGGTTTATAGACGGTTTTGGCAGAGGGAGGATGTTGATTCACTGGCCTCATAGAGATTAGCACCTTTATGTCTTGCCATTCTTCTCTAATGCAGGCAGAATATGGCGCTTTTTTTCCTGTGGAAACCCATTTCTCTTTGAGTGAAAGCTCTTTTCTTGGAACTGTGTCCTTGTTGGGGCAACACTTATGAGTGGTATATTAATGCATGATTCAATTGTGGAATAATGTAGTGCACCACACTGGTAGATCTAACAGTAGGGAAATAACCCCATAGGGTTTTTCAGTAATCCACCAGAAAGATCAAGGTCTCCAATACACATAAACTGCAGTGAAAGGAAAATATGAGATAAGTAGAATATGAAATCATTAAAGCCTTTCTAACAGGATTATTATTCCTTTCGGAAATTCATTGTTTCCCAGGGGATGAAACAAGTATTACGTTACTGTTGTTGTTGTACACGGTTCCCTATTTACCAGTTTATGTAATGGTAATTTCTGAGAACTCCAGCCAAGGTTCAAGGCCATTTAGTTGTTGCATAGGTAAATAAAGGCAACATGTCATTTTCCTGCTCCCTCCCAGTTGCTCACAATATACAAATCAGACCAGAGGGAATCAAAGAGGCAAAAGGGATTTAAGAAAGAGAGAACGAGTTAGCAATAAATGAACAGATATGTGTAGTAAAATGGAGGCTGCGCTAAGAAAGGAGAGACCAGTTCTCCAGTTAGTCTTTTTGGGTTTGAGTATAAAAACTATCAAAATTGCTGTCACTTGAAGTGCAGAATGGCACAGCAACATGCCAAAGATATGATAATTTCAATTGTAATGTAAATGGTTTTGAAGAGCTATTTCTTTACTTTTTCTTTAGCCCCTGTCCCTAACTGAAACCAAGACACTCCCCATTATTTTTTTAAGTCATTTGCTGTCACTTAGTTTCCTTCATTGGAAATGAAACAAATAATGTCTACTTTACTCTGAATGCTGACCTGTGTGTTAATTGGAGGTTTGAAATGAAGGTGTAAGGTACTGTATATGTTAAATATTACTAGTTTTGCAGCTACCTCGAGATCAGAAACATGTTGGTAAATTAACTGAAAAGCTATCTAACTTCATTAGAAGTGCTGGATTCCTTCAAGAATGATGGGAAAGTCCTAGTTGTTTAATAGAAACAGACACAGAAGATCTTTTTTTGTTCTTCATGACAAAAACTGTATAAGCATCACTCAATTGTCTAAAAAAGAAATCAAAAAATGAACATAGTACATTTTCTAAGCTCTTCTAGACCAAAAATTTTCCTTTGCCATGTTTTCAGTATCATTTGTACTGCTTTGTCTATTCTAGATTTGTATGCTTCAGAGATGGAAGCTTTATAAATTCCTACCATGCTATTTCAGAGTTTAAGAAGTCTTGTAATGTTGGGACGTACTTGATATTTCTTTAAGCCACAAGTGTCCAGCATCCATAAAATACTACACAGGAAAAGAAAGGTTATCAGGTGTTTCTGAAATAAAATAGCTCTTACAAAAAACATCCTTCATTGGGACTTTTAGAGCACAAAGTACTTTGTACTCAGGATTAATTTTTTTTAAATTCTTTTTTCCCCTGAGATTTTTTTTTCCTGTTCTAAATAAGGCTGAAAAAGGTATTTACTAAAAAATGTAAGGACGGAGGAAAAAGTCAAATGCTCAGCAAGGGAAGAAGACAGCTTGGATCAGTGGGTGTAACAGTGATCAAGGAAAAGATCAGATCATTGCTTTTCACAGGCACCATGGGGATTTTTATATCTAGCATCTATTATATCCTCTGTTAAGATAATTACAGAATTTAATTCCATCTGAGTGTTTCTTCCGGAGCCTTAAAGGACCTGGAAGCCAACAGAGTTGCCAATGGGTGTTGTGAAAAGTAAAAATCCTCTATCCATCTGGATAGTAAAGAATGAACAGTCTGTTTGGAATATAGCGATAGTATAACGATGCAACTCACTTGTGGCTCATGCCAGAGTACTCCTGTCCTTACTTTCTGATTATTCACTCACAAGGTACTGTTGAGTTGAAAATGTCAGAGTGATGTTGTGCAACTAATTATTTGAAAACCCCTTTCAATTCAAGGATGAAAAATTTTGTTTCCCTGTAAGAAGTGTTTATACTTACAGTGAGTTGTATTGTGGAATGGTACATATATTCATATTCTGTATTTTCAATACTATATATTCAGTTTTATGTTCTTTGGAAAGGGCCTTAGGTCATGCTAGGACACAAACCCACCAAAAGTCCATCAGAGCCAATGGGAAATTTTCTTTGCTGGTAAATGAGGTTTCTATTCTTATCTGAGAGTTATAAAATCAGAACAACAAAGATATTCAGTCTCCTGGCATCTTACTAGAAACTTGAAATCCCACTGAAAACTGCAGAAATCTATGGAGACTACTCTGATGTTCATTAGCATGCATATCAAACATAAATTCTCCTAAATAATATGAATCTCTATGAGTATTTTCCAACAGTCTGGGAAAAACTTGAGGGTTTTGTTTTTTTCCCTTTTTTAAAAACTCTGAATGAGGGGTTTTCTTGATTGGATTTGGTAGTGCACAAGACTTGTGCTTTAAATGTTTTTGGTTTTTTTTTCAGAAGAAGCCTCAGTGACAGAAACAAAATTATCATGGTTTGGCAGTATACAAACTGCTATAGGCAAGAATGTTTTTGTAACAACACTTTAAAATATCTGCCGTGTTTTCACAGTCCTTTGTAAGAATGAACATTACCTTAGTGAAAAACATTTGAAGACACAGTGAGATTACATAGGGCAGCACCCATTTAAACACATGGAACATGGGAGATTTTCATAACTCATGCAAGATAAGATTGCTCATTATTTGAAGCAGGAGCTAATGAAGAGGAGCTATCTGGAGATCTTAGTTTTAAGTAGAACTTGCATCTTAATGATTGTAACAAAAATATCTTCTTAGTCAGATCAGAGAATAGGATATATTTTCATTCTACTCTGGTCTCTATCATAAAGCTGTGCAGATGGAGGTCTTTTAATTGATATCTAATTCTTCCTTATTTAATTCTTGCCGAGTACATGCAGCTTTACTTCAGTGCAGGTTGCCCTGCCCCTTTTTAGATTTGCCTTGATTTCTAATCTAATATTAGATTATAAGTGTCAGTGATAAAGAGTGAATGCTGAAACTCTTTGTCCTCAATCAAATCCTTGTCCAGTGGGCGAGATTGTATCTCTTGTCACACGCCTGCAGCTCATAGAGTCAGTAGCCACCACAAGGCCTCTCTTGCTTGATTTTGCATGTATAATCTTAAGTCAACCTCCCTGTCGCGTAGCTAATATGAACAAATTATGTCTCTCTGTTTGTTTGTTTTCTCTCTTCCCCACAGGTAAAATTAGTATTTTCAAAGGAAGCTTCAAAGCCGATGGCTCCACGAATCTTACCAAATCCGCTAGCAGCTGCAGCAGCAGCTGCTGCTGTGGCTGTGAATTCCCCCTTCAGTCTTCGCACAGCCCCAGCAGCCACCCTTTTCCAGACTTCAGCACTTCCTCCAGCACTCCTACGACCAGCTCCTGGGCCTATACGGACCACCCATACTCCTGTGCTGTTTGCTCCTTACTGAACTCCAAACAGGAAATAATTGTACTGCAATAATTTTTCAAAACAAAACAAACAAAAAAAATGAAAATCAAGAACATTGAACTATGCAGTGTTTATTTATAGTTTAAAGTATATATGAAGAGCCAGAACTTTTGATAGAGAACTGAACAAATTCTGAAAGGGGGAATGGGCAGTATTTTCTCCAGATGAGAACATTCCTCTTGAGCATTGATCATTTTAGAACTGATCTCCAGCATTGACTTGTAGTGACATATAAAGCCTTTTGACTGTGCATTTTGCCACATATTTCCCTGCAATGTCTTTCCTGCTTTATGAAGCAACTTACAAATTTGTCTAAAGGGCATTAACTGGTTCCAATGTATATAAAATACTTTATTCTGTAGATTAAAGAAGAAGGAAAAAAAAGAAACACTGTGAATAGTAGTACCCTTACCAATCCTCCTGCCAAGTCAGCAGGTACTGGGTATTTATCTGAACAACAGTAGATACAATAGACGTCTTGTAAAACAGTAGTATTGTGTCTCTATCTATGCCACTAGGTTTCTAACTGAGTTGCAAAAGATAAAATGAACAAATTATGTCACTTTGGTAAGTAGTCAAAAATGATGACAGTGATGTGGAGCTGTTCCTGGTGAGCAAAAATTGTTTTCCTTGCCTGTAGCAGAATGGGCAAGAAGATAATCTAGGTTAGGTAAAAGAAAGTGATAAAGAAGATCTAGTGGGGGAAAAATAATTAGGATACTGTACACAGAATGGATCGAACATTTATTTAACTGAGAACGTATGTGTACAGTGTGTGTTTATTCAAAAAGTGTAATACATACAGAATACATCAATGTTTAAGACATGCCAGTGGACAGCAAAAAATACACTCTTGTCATGAAACAGGCCTGACACTTCAGTGTTGAGCAGAGGGAAGACACAAATGGGTTACACATAGTCATAACTAACTAATGAAAAACAGGAGAGAAACTCTGGCCTCGTTTAAGTCGGCATAAAGTTCTTTCTGACTGCAATGTAGCCAGAATTTCATCACAAGAATGGCACATATTCTTTTTATATCACACCAGTGGGAGTGTCTGTAGATACAGGTAATATTTTTTGCAATAGGCTTAGTCTTAGAAACAGATTTATTCTCTTGTATTATTTCCTACTGATGTGATATAAAATGTTTAATATACCTATAAAATGTAAACAGTGACACATGAGATACATATTACGAGATAACGGCACATCATGGGTTTGGAACAAATGCAACCTTTAGGATCTGAAGGGACCCTTGAATTCTGTAGCTGACCGTTATGTATGGACAGCTTAAAGCCTTATATATTTACTGTGAGGCTTAAAGGGGTTGACTGTGTCCCTTTAAAGTAAGATTTATCAGGGGTATATATAGATATATTGTATATATGTTAGAGTAAGAAAAATAACTTATAAACAGAAAATCTACTATATAAAATAATTATATAACCATTGAGTTTCACATGTGGGTCATTAAGTGGTAAGTAACAAACAGCAGAGAAAAAAATAGACTTCTTGAATCTGATTCTTGCTGCCTGCTTTTTCCCATAGGGAGCTGAAAAGTATCTATTAATATTATGGAGTGCGCTGCTGAGTCACGTGCGACCACTCTGATGTGTAGCTAAGTGAAATGCCTACCATACATTTAGGCAGAATAAAATTTAAAAACATAATTTAAGTTTAAATGTGGAAATTATTCGAAAGACTTTATTAAAAGGCAGTAATGCAAAATATTGACCGTGTGGTTGCTGTATAATGCTGCCTGTGGTTAATATGGACAGGTGGGAGTATAGAGGATGGGAATATACAGCACTTTTGACTTGCAGTTCATCAGTGAGCCTTCCATATACATTCGTATTTGCCATTTTTTAAACCTCTCCGCATTTAGATTTTATAAAAAAATATATAAAGAGAGAGAAAGAAGAGGTTCCATGGATGTCTGTGTCCAAAGAATTCCAAAGAGATGCATTTATTTATCTAGAAGTATTAAAATAAGTTCTATATTATGTATTTGTATTTCATCCAGTTTCTTTGCAAACGTTTGTGCCTTGAAATGAAATGGGCTTTTGTTTATATTTAATTCACAACTATGTAGCCATGAAAAAGATGTGATGGTGTTTTCAGGGCTGATTACCAGCTGGATTGCTTTGGCCCAACTTCCAAAACAACAGTATGAGTAAGTTCCTGAAGCCAAGTTTAGACATCTAAAAAACTAGGGGCTGACATTTAAAAGGGCTCTCTACTCTACAGCTCCCAGTAAAGACATAGTAAATAAGCCAGCCTTCTAGACCTGCTCCTAGCACTCAATTTAGAAAATGTTTCATTTTATTTGGGTATATAATATATTAAGGTTGGACTCCATTTTGCAAAATCTGGGACTAGGTCTTTTAAGCCTGCTTTCAAACTTCCATCTTTTTGCAGAAGCTGTAGTGCCAATGCCAGCTGTGTTCAGATTCCTCCTTGAATAGGGAACCAGTTTCCAAGGTGTGCTCCGTGAACCACCATTTATCTCCAGAGACTTTTGTAAGAGCCTGTGTAAGAGCTTGCTAAAGGAGCAGAGGAGGACTCATATTTTGGGAAAGGAGAAGATCTGGTCAGGCTATCTTTTCCCCATGAGAAAGCATGCAGATGGGAAAACAGGAGATCTACAAATATCCTGTAGGCTTTTCTATGCATAGCCTTCTGGTGCATGGACAGCTGCTGTACATTCTGCGATGTTGTTGTGATGCCATCAAAATCAACAGGCTGATCCTTGCCAAAATGTGGCCTGTGGCATGTATGGAGGCACAGTACTAGGGGCAGAGTTAATACAAATTTTGCTAGAAATAAAAGAGTGTCATTCCAACTACTTACATCAGCTAATTTGCAATGACACCTTCAGTATTCTTGGACCTCTTTTGTCACAGTGCTCTATGGAACAAGTTTTTGTTCACACAAACCTCTTTTAAATTTCAGCTGTAAACAAACTCAATTCTTTTTATGTCTCTTACTCACTACCTAATAAAGGATAAAGCCTAAATGTTAGAATGTATAGTGGATTTTCTATGCCTTGCTGTTCCTCCCTTGTCTTGGTCAGTAACAATCCAATGTCCCCAGACATCAGCACAACAGTTTTATTAAATATATCTGTCAAGGAAAACACCGGCACAGCAATCTGATGGGACAAGGAGAGCTTCTGGTCAAGGGTATGTCCAGAGCAGATGACAGTGAAGGTAAAACAGAAGACACTTTACACCTACTTGTCAATACATCCAATATGGAGAGTATTATAAAAGAACAAAAAGAGACATCATATTTCATATTACAGTAACACTCCAGGGCCAAGAGGAAGCCTAAAGAACAAGGAAACAGATCATTTCATCGAAGACACAGTCACTCACTGGAATTACAGTTTGAAATCAGCCTGCGGGGAAATGCCTGGGTATGAACTCAGAAAAACAAACAGGTTCAGGGATGTTTTCTTAAATTCTATTCAAAGTGTTAAAAAATGACTATTCTGTTCTGATCCAAAGAGATGGTATTTTTGTGGGAGGGAGATATATATATATTTATATTTTTATGCTATCTGAATTTTTCCAACTATCTCTGGCTTCAAACTTCTGTTCTGAAGGATCATTATTGCTCTGAACCATGAAATTAGTTACCTTCTTGAAAGCTGCTGTAAAAGCTGATGTGAGAGGACAGTAAGCAAATGGTATAAATATGATGATCTAAAATGAAAAAAAATGAACTGGCCATGTCAAGGAATATTGTATTTGAAAAGTATACATCTTTATTTTAGAATAAATTATATAAAATTATTTAAAAAAAGAATAGCTAAATAAAGTTAATATAATTAGAAGAATTACATCTGTCATTTTAGTACTGAAATATTGCAATTGGCTCTGTATTTTAAAGGATGGAAAGACTTTTTAGATGCTGAATCAATGCAAGGATGCTGTTGGTAAATTTAATGTCTCACATTCTTTATCTTTCATTTATATCAGGAATACCATAACTGAATGGACCTTCATTTAGTCATTTCTATTCTAATCCCCAAAAACACAGTAGAGTATTGGCCCAACATTCCCTGAACTGAAGTCATGCTCTGTTTCTGTTTTCTACTGCAAGCAAACACATAGTTTTTAGAGTCTCTTCAAAGCATCCCGGGCAATTTGATATAATTTATTTTTTTTTTTCAAAAATAAACATGATTTTATGAACATAAGACTGACACTGAAGAACAAGACCTGAAAATATTTCTTCACAATTACAATATTCTTATGGCTAAATATAAAGCACCAATACCCAAATTGTTTGGTTACTTTTTAACAACTTTATAAGTGTCCTGGTTTCAGGATTAACCCACAACAATAAGTAATCTGGTTTTTTTTTATTAACAGGTGTCTGAATTTTCATCTTTAATTTACTTCAGTGCGGTTTAGGCTTCAGGAGTCTAAGCACCTAAATCTCCCAAGAAAATAACAGGGGTTCCTGTTTATCAAAATGCACATGAAAATGTGAGCCTATGCTATAAAATATTACATTTTTTTTTGACATCACACTCACTGTTTATCTGTAAGTGCCATTCCTTCAGTGCCAATCAATCATACAGAAAATTCTGAACTGAAATTCAGTATGTGACTAAAAGAAATAGTAGTATTATCTTAAACTAGCTGAAATCTCAGACACGCAGTTAAAGGTTCAGCCAAGGACAAGAGCTTTATGCCCTCTCACTCCTACAGGTTTATTAAAATTCAGGACCATTTAGGAGTAAATGTAACTATCTCAAGGATGGTTATTACATAGCCTGATCTGAAATGTCAGCAGCTGACAGAGTCTGTGTTCCAGGCTGAAATAAAGAATACTGTGAAAACCATAATGTTCTTAACCCTGGGACTCCTGAAAGCAGCTGCAAAAATCTTTGACTTCGGTAGAGGTAATTTTTTGCTCTTAGTGGCCAAGGCCTTTTGCAGTCGTGCTGTGTACTGCAATTAGGTGTCATTCAACTCTGATTTAATATTGATACTTTGATAGAGAAATTCGGCTGAACTTGAAACATAATTAGTGGCTGCCTAGTTCCTGTGATCAGCTTCATGCCGAGACAACGCTTGGGCGGTGAAATAAGAAGAAACAACAGGGTCAATGCAAAGAAACAGGTGGACTTATTTGATCCTTTTTCCTCGTGCAGTGTTCTTACATGAAACTTGTGAGGCAATAACAAGCTGGGACATTGAAGAGTTCCTGGATAAAATAGTAGGGACCGTGAAGGTCATAAGATCTTAGCTTTAAAAATAATTTGATGAGAAAGATGATGAGAAAAAACCTAAAAGATTTTCTTCAGCTTAGATACCACAGTGACATTGTAGCAATGGTCTTCACACTAGTCACACTCTCAGCCACACTGACATTTTTACTGTTCACGACACAAACTGAGTATTTGACATCCATGATTAGAAACAAGCATAGTTAATGATACTCATAGTATATGTATTGGACACTCAATTGCAGGACACAATAATTTTCCTTGGAAATCCGTGTATTCATGTCTGTTCATACTAGCCAAGCTATCACTGCATCTTGTCAACACCTGGGTCTCCAGGGAGGATGTCCATATTTTTTATTTGTTTCCATTCCTATTCAATTTTTCTTCTTTGTTTTTTTGTTCATAATCTTATCTGTCATATGAATTAACAGAATACATAAAATTAAATATGCATTTAAGAAGCAGGTAACCATCAAAGCCCCTGTTAGCTCATTTGATCAGAGTAAATAAATTGAATAAAAAATTTAGAGCAGCAGTACCGTAATAATAGTAACATATTGTGAACAGAGAACCTGTGTATACTACAGTGTTCATTACCTGATCTAGTCAGAGTTTTATGACATAGCCAGCATTTTAGTCTTTCATAGTTTTCTTAAATGTTCATCTTTTGGGATTCTTCAAAGGTTTAATTAAATATAAACATTATTTCTTATGTTCAGTAACAACACCTATGTATTTCTGAACACAAAGACAACAGAAAAAGGGATAAACCCCGCATACAAATGCCTGCAGCATTTGTAAACAACTTCAGCCCTTTCTCTGCTTGTAGCATTTACCATGGGAACAGTTCTCATTCTCCCACTCCCCCCTTTCAAAGTATAATCTTTCGTTTATACATACTTGCAATGTAGTCTTGCCATGACATTATTGCCAGTCAAACTACTGCCTGAACCTGATTTGCCCATTGGAATAAAACCATGAATGTAAGAGAACAGGAACAAAAACTTAAAATGTAATGAGCCTCAAGTGCAGTCCCCTTTTTTTCTCCTTCCTGCAGTTGCTGAAGTCCTACCAGTTTGCTGAAATCTGTGTCAATCAAAGAGAAAATACCTGTTTCTTTCTTCTTCTACTGTTTTTATAGTATTAGAAAGGAGGTGGAAGCAGCTGTTCCTCTTTATCCAATAATTCAGACACTAAAGCCACCATGTAGTCAATCAAATGTCTGCACGCATATTGCCTCTCTGTATACACACAACTCTTATGTCCCTTCAATCCCTCTCCTGAACCACATTTTGTAGCTTCCCCAACAGCATGGGACACTGCAAGGAAGTGAAGAGAAAAAGAGAAACCAAAGCAACCACTTATGGGCTGCATAATATGGATATGTAACATAGTACCCTTTTATTCTCTTCAGTGGCATAATCTAACGAAGCCTTGTGTCTGGAATCCTGCATTAAGCCTTTCATTGCAGTATTGACTGCTTTAAATGGTGAGCACTGAAGCCAATCTTGTTGTCTGTGCTACAATTAAGCCTGTAAGGTTCTAAATTCTCCACTGGGGTATTTTTCATGGCAAGCAAATCCTTAAAATAAAAGCTAGAGCTTTTTTAATCTCCTTATAAAGTTATAAAAAGCAGCAGAAAAAAAAAAAGAAACTAACATTTCATGTTTTATCGATACCTACATTCCACCTAACTCTTAGGAACTTCACAGAGGTGGTAAATACTCTAGAAACTCTTCAGTTCTGCTCCATAAGACAGGATGCAATGGATCACTATTCCATGTAACAGACATTTAATCTACAACAGTATGCAAACCATCTACTCTACACCACTGACTCATTAAACTCCTTAAAGTTGGATAAAAAAAATCTTCAAAATCTACCAGGACCCACTGAAAGCACTGGAGGTAAAGACCACACATGTGAAATGATGTGTCAATGAACTGTCAGGAGGACATCCAGGTTAGTCCAACAGCAAGGGCAAAAGGCAACGGTTTTAGAAATTAATTGTGGGAAACTTCCTTCTGAACCCAAGTGTGAGAACAAGTTTAGCCCTGCCAAGTACACTGCAACAATTGTGAACTGGAGAAGTTCGTTGGTTATCCTTGAGCAATGCATTTCCAGATATGGACAATCTCCAACATTGCAGCAAAAGACTTCAAACCTGAGACCAAGTTATTCAACAGGATAATGAAATATTCTTCCTAGGGTTTATAGATAACCAGTTTAAGCCCCTCTTTTAGTAATGTGAGGCACAGTTGAATTAGTGGGTTCTGAGAGTACTGATGGTTTCACAAACACTGGCCCTGATTCATTCACGTTTCAAAAACACTGTAAATTTAGATGAGATTTTTATAAGTCCAATAGTAAAATTTCATGGTCTGATAGTTTGTAACAGTAGTTTTGACTGATAACTTGGCAATATAATGTCTCTAATTAAAAAAGGGTGGAGAGAGGTGACTGGAGCAATTATACCTTACTATTTAAGACCTCTGATACCTGCCTGAGGGTTTTTTAAAGGTTGAATTTATCAACCACATTGAAAAGGCAGTGGGCTAGTAAATAACTGTGTCTTCTCAAAGGTAAGTTAGATGAGACAAAATTATCAAACTTTTAGTAATTTCTTCATTAGGTAGGTGTAGATTAATTGCTCCGGACAAGATTAAGTATTTGAGACTGTGACCCATTAAAACAATTTAATTGGCACTATGAGGATTCATATAATTTTGAAAGTAACTAACTGAAATGCAGTCTGCGTGGGTTATAGTATTAGGTTAGGGAAAGAAAGTAGAAGGCTGTTCCTAGGAGCAATTTTAAGTTATATTTGGCTTCACTGGTGATTTTGCACACATAAAGAAACATATGCTCTTAAAATTCTTTGATAACACATATTAAGAGCTATCATCAATAGAGAGAGGAACATGATATTTTCCAGAAAGATTAGAATGACTTTGAGAACTGATATTATAGAACAGAGCTGTAACTCAATAGGTAAGAAACGGGCAATCATGTAATTTGAATCTAATAACAACTAACTCTAAGATCTCAGCAGCTGGAACCAGCTCAAGACGAGCACAACCCACAGGTATTATCATTTGTGGCAGTGAGTTACAAATTTGATATAACTGTTAAAGAAAACCCTAAAAAATGTTCACTGAGGTATATTCTAAATTATACCACCACAGAATAAAAACTTTGCAGTTTGATTACTTCAGTGAGTCATAATCAAGAGCAATTAAGTCTTTTTAGAAAAGATATGAGGATGAGAAAATAATATAATAAAATTTTTATGGTTAGAATAAGGTATGGAAGGCTGAGAAAAATTACTCCATGTGCCTGAGAGTATTATCCAGACGTCTATAACTCTGGAAATTATAATATACTTGTAAGTGTTAAAACACAGAAAAGTTGTCAAGCAACCAAAAACTGAGGTGATCCTCAGGTGGGCTTGGTTACAAATGGAGTTATGTGCTGCATTCGCTGTGGCAACAACTAACAGGTCACAATGGGCTAGTCAGTAGGTCTGTTCCCTTTTCTCTCTGTGTATATACTTTAGTATGTTGCTCCAAAATATGTCAGTGACTTTTCTCATGACT